GAACCGCTGACCTGCTGATCTAGCAGTAGCCTGCAGTGCTGCATTTAACCACTGCGCCACCTTGGCTCTAATAAATAACTCAAATTGGCAAACATATTACATAATACTCCTTCCTCCTCCTACTTTCCCCATTGCAACAACTCTGTGAGGTGAGTTGGGCTGAGGGAGCATGACTGATGCTATGTGCTCTGAAGCAAACTTTTGCTTTTGGATCTGAAATGCTGCACAACCATCAGGACAAAGCTAGTAAATTGCATAATCTGAAGCTCAAAGCCAGCATTCTTAAATGTTCTTTTAACACATGTTCATGTTATTAATATGTAAAAAAGTCTACAAGTAGTCCTTGGGTTACAACAGCAATTGGACCAGAACTGCTTCCGCTAAGTGACATGGTGATAAAGTGTGACATCATGGGATAGCATTACTTATCAATGAGAGTCGTGGCAGTTAACGTTGCTATTGATAAGTGAGGACTGTGTAAGAAGTTAGCAAGGATTTCATGTGACCACCATTTTCAACTTCCTGCCAACTTCCTCATTGATTTTGCTTGTGGAAAACCAGCAGGGAACACTGGAAAGTTTGATCATGTGACTGCAGCTCAGTGCAATGTTGGAATCATGAGCTGGGAAATGAGCACTCATATCGTGATTGTGTGACTGTGAGGATGTTGCAAACAGCTGAAACTCTGAGGACATATAAGTCCCCCTTGTTCAATGCTATTGCAAATTTGAATGGTCACTAAATGAGTGATCAGAACCCAAGAACCCACCTATATTCTGTTTCTGCCAAAGGAAAGAGGCATAATTAAAAATAAATTGAATTCAAAAGTATTTGACTTAATTTGTTGTATAGCAATCACCTGCTAATTTCTTAATATCCCATTTGGGACTTTTTTCCTGAAAAAATAAATATTTATTTTTTTCTTCATCCTTGTCATTTCTGTGCAGCAAGAAAATGGAGAGAGAAGAATGCCCTGGGTGCACATGGCAATTGGGAAGTTGAGGTGGGAGAACCCACATTGCTTGCAACAGGAGCACTGGACCGTGAGTTCATAAAGGAGAGCAATACCAATGTAAATATAATATTTGCACCTCAGCATTTGATATTAGGGAAAATATACTTTATCCAATTTTTCTACCTTGATGTTTTTTTTCATTTAGAAAATAGTATGTAAGGCTTTCTTTCTATAGCTGTGTGAATAATCCAGAACATTGGAATTGTCCATTATGCTCTTCCTTTCTACTTTATCTCTGTCTTTTTCCTACATATAAAGGTTTATTTGTTAAATGTGTTATCATGCCATTCCTACAACTCAGCTTAAGTAGCATTTGCTTCTTCCAATTTTTCCTCACGACATTTTTATGACAAAAGTTCAGCTAAGAGATAGCAACCATATTTTAAATTTCAATGTAATTTAAACAGAGGAATTACAATTGAAAGCCCACTATGGTCAAAAAGAGCTAAATTAACATTGTGTGGAGACATTTTTGTAAATATGAAAAGTTTAATATGGCTCCTTTATGAGAGACTCATGTTCAAGTCCATCCTTAGCCATAGAAGGTCAACTGGGTGTATTTGAGCTAGTTAAAAGCAGCAGGCAAGCATGTGCGTGCTCCATTTGCACAAGTGGCGGGCGTGTGTGCCTCCTACTCACACAAATGGAGCTGTGCGCTTGCCCGTCACTCGAGTGGAACCATCCCCTCTCCCTCCCTGCCAGGTTGCAAAACTAAAAAGTTTGGGTAACTCTGCTTTAGAAGTATATTGGTAGCCATTCATTAAATCATGTGTGCTTCCAGATATAGTGTCCTGTCGTGTTTCTCAACCTCAGCAATTTAAAAATGTGTGGCTGGGGAATTCTGGGAGTTGAAGTCCACACATCTTAAAGTTGCTGAGTTTGAGAAACACTAGTGTGTATACTGATTGCTTTGGGGAATATAAATGCTCTCCAATCTTTTTATGGCTCTGGGCTATTTGGGTGGCTTCCAAAATATAGCACCTATAAAAACATGTATAAAGCATAACACATATAAAACACATCAGCTAAAATAGTTACATTGTAAGCCCTTAGGTAGTAAATGTTTTCAGCTCTTTCTTAAATTGTAACGAAGAGGCGTGATTTAATTCCACTGACAATTTATTCCATGACACAAGCTATAATTTAGACAAAAATGCCAAGAGCTAAATAATATTTGTATAAAAGGTTTATGCTCTGTATTATGGTTTTGCCTTAAAGTTAGGATCTCTTTCAAATGTTCTTCCTGAATAAACTCAGAAAGTTCAGACTGCCCGGGAGCTGCTGATGCAGTTTTACAGAGGAATTATTGAGTCTATAACTGTCTAGTGCGGTACAGCAACCAAACAGGACAGTTACAGAGTCCAACGCATAATCAAGACTGTAGAAAGAATAATTGCAACCAGCCTGCTTCCCATAGAAGACCTGTATATTGCGCGGATCAGGAGGGCTGAGAAAATATCTGCAGACCGCTCACATCCTGGACACAAACAGTTTCAGCTCCTTCCCTCAGGACATAATTGCATGCTTAGATACAGGGGCAGTTTTTTCCCCTTGTGCCATCACCTAATTCTCATGGTTTTGTCAAATGTGTATGTATAAGAGCCAAGGTGGCGCAGTGGTTAGGGTGCAGTACTGCAGGCCACTTCAGCTGACTGCTGTCTGCAGTTCAGCGGTTCTAATCTCACCGGCTCAAGGTTGAC